AGATTTAGCTGGTGTATCTTGAGAGCCATCTGATATCCTGGAAAATGCTGGTCCCGAGACGGTTCAACGCAGGGGAGCATATATCTTTCAGTATGTGGCGATTGGGGCGGTCGTTCCCTCCACTTGAGAGCGCCCCCAGAACAGAGCGTGGGGTAAAGAACCGTTTGAATGATCTGGGCGTGACAGGAGGGGGCTTTTTAGTCTTCGTTCGAGGAGGAGATGAAAGTATCTGTGGAGCATTGAATATAGGAGGAGAAGATGGAATCGTGTCCTGGGATCCCTCGGGGGTGTCGGATCTGACATATAGAGAAGAGGACCCAGTGACAGATTCCATGGCTAGGGTTATATTGAGTTGGATACAAATTTAACGCATTGAAATCAATATCTATTTATGCTTTGAAAGGAGTTGGAGGGTGACTGCAGCTGGCGGAGGAAGAGGAGGAGTTGTCAGATTTCGAGCCCCACGGGAAGAGATTTTGATATTGAGGCTCTGTCTGCCCTCAAACTGCGTCCAACAATTGATCTCCGCGAAGTCGTGCCCGTGTCGGTCTTGGCGCTTCCGCGACGCGAGTGCTTAGTCATGGTGACCTGGCGTCATACTGCCCCAAAGGAAGCGATTCCGCTAGATTTAAAGAGGAAGGCGGTGAAGTACTTCACAGCTTGGTGCTCGGCTCTCGGGGTGTTGATGCCGAGCCTGCGCTTAGCCTAAAGGAGAATTTTTGATTTTTCAATATTGAAAGTTGACGAACAATTTAAGTCAATTGCCCTGTCCAGTTTCTGCTATGAAGATGGCTCCCATCAAGCGGAAGGGTAATGGCCCAGATGAGTCAGGTTCGCGGCAGCCGCAGAAAAGAGTCAAGGTCATAGCTGGCGTGCAGCGCAAGGATGTGAACGGCGGGAAGAATTCGAAGAAACCGGCGGAGAAGTCGAAAGATTCTTTGGATTCACCCTCGAAGACACCAGCTGTTTCTGTCTTGCGGGAGGAGGAACCCGCATTTCCCCGTGGTGGTGCAAATATTTTATCACCGCTTGAGCAGAAACAAATCCATATCCAGGCAACTCGTGACGTTCTGTTCGAGCAGAAGGGAGCGCAGGCTCAGGATGATATTGACAATGAGGACGGGACTCAGAAGAAACAATCTAGCAAGGAATTCGGGATTAAATCTAGGAAATGGAAGACCAAATCCATGAAGCACACGATTCCTCAGGCGTCTACCAAGGAGGAGGTTCGCATTGAAGGGCTTAATTTCAAGGTACTTTGTTCCTCCCTGAATAGTGAATCCTGAGTGAATCAACACCACTGATGTTTATTTTTAAAGCGCATTGTCGTAGGATCTAATATCCTTGGCCAAGTCTCTAGCATCAATGCTCACGACATTGGTTTGTCGCTTCCGAACAATTTAACTGGTTACGTACCACTCACCGCAGTATCGAAAACACTCCAGCAGAAGATTGAAAAACTCTTGAACAGCAGCCAAGAAGAAGAAGATAATTCCGATGGTGATGATGATGATGGAGATGATGATTTGGATTTGAAATCCTACTTCAAATTGGGCCAATATTTACGAGCGGCCGTTACATCAACTGAAACTGAGGTGAATCATGGTAAAATCAAGGGGAAAAAACATATCGAGCTTTCAGTGGACCCTAGGGAGGCTAATTCAGGCCTTTCGAAATCCGATCTAGTCGTTAATGCAACTGTACAAGCCTCTGTCCTTAGTTTAGAGGATCACGGATTGGTTATGGATCTTGGCTTGGAGGATGGCCAAACGAGAGGGTTTATGTCTTCGAAAGAAATACCCCATGACCTCGAGCTATTACAGATCAAGGAAGGCACGGTTTTCCTTTGCGTCGTGACTGGGCATAATGCGAATGGCAACGTTGTGAAGCTTTCCGCCAACTTGCCAACGGCCGGCTCCATTAAAAAATCCCACTTCTTGACATCTGCACCCACCATCCACTCATTCCTTCCTGGAACAGCGGCAGAAATCCTTCTGACCCAAGTTACTTCGACTGGCATGGCTGGAAAAATCATGGGAATGCTGGACGCTGTTGTTGATATAGTCCAGTCCGGAGCCACTGCTGGAAAGGAAGATATTACCGCAAGGTATCATGTTGGTGCGAAAATTAAAGGTCGACTAATTTGCACATTCCCCACGGCAGAACCTTTGAAACTTGGATTTTCGATCCTGGACCACGTTGTCAAGTTTATGCCAACAGTTCTAGACCGCAAATCTAGCTGTGAGGTTGTCCCTGCTATATCTGCCATTGTGCCTGAAGTAAAAGTCACTAAAGTTGAGCCTGGGTTGGGAGTCTACGCTCAATTCAATGACAAGCATTATGGATTTGTCCATATTTCCAGGCTCTCCGATGACAAGGTCGATAGCATATCTTCTACGCAAGGTCCTTATATGGTCGATTCTACCCATGAAGCAAGAATAGTTGGCTTCAGCGCACTGGATAACCTCTATCTACTATCTCTCGAAAGAAAGGTCATCGACCAACCTTTCCTTCGTCTCGAGGACGTTACAGTTGGCGCGGTGGTCAAGGGAAAGATCGAGAAACTCCTCATTGGACCTGATGGTATCAGCGGACTCATTGTTTCTCTCGCGGATGGCATTTCCGGGTTGGTTCCAGGAATGCATATGTCCGATACTAAACTGCAGCATCCAGAAAAGAAGTTCCGTGAAGGAGTACAGGTTTCCGCCAGGATCCTTTCCGTGAATTTGGAGAAACGCCAGTTACGACTTACGTTGAAAAAGACGTTGTTAAACAGCGAATCCTCTACCTGGTGTGATTATAGCGACATCCTTCCAGGGAACAAATCACCCGGAACCATCATCAGCATTCAGTCTCATGGAGCAATTGTTCAGTTTTATGGCGAAGTTCGAGGATTTCTCCCGGTTTCGGAAATGAGTGAAGCTTATATCAAGGACCCCGCTCAACATTTCAATATTGGACAAGTTGTGAATGTGCATGCGCTAAATGTTGACGCAGAGTTGCGAAAGCTGGTAGTCTCCTGCAAGGACCAGTTGTCCTCCACAGAAGCTTACAAGCGCGCGCTTGAGCATATCCACCCAGGGAACACTGTTTCAGGCACTGTATTTGAAAAATCCAATGAAGATATACTGCTAAAGCTGGAGGACTCTGGGTTGGTTGCTAGATTAAATGCGGAACACGTCAGCGATGGCCAAGCTTCGAGAAATGGCGCTGCTCTTGCCCGCATTAGAGTCGGACAGAAACTTAATGAACTTTTAATCCTTAATATACAAAAGTCTCATCAGTTAATCAAGGTCACCAATAAGCCGAGCCTGAAGCAAGCTCGTCAACGAGGGGAATTACCTACCAAATTTGAGGATCTTCGAAAGGATCCAAGGTGACCGGATTCGTGAAGAACATCATTGCGGAT